GTGGTACGTATATTAAACACTATGCCACTGAAAAAAACTAGACACATTGTATATTCTTAATTTAAATTCCAAACAGATTGGGCATGACTACTGCTTACGATTTTATGCAATGACAGTTGTTATAATGACATATATGGTACTGGTCATACCATGTTAAGAGACTTTGACAAGGTTTTCTGCCTAACAAAATGCACTTAGAAGCATGTTTCAAAACATAAAACTTTATAAGTTTTGACAATATTCAAAATCACCAGTAACATGTTAAAGAAAAAAGAGCAGTAGTCAATTAAAGCAGCAGCAACAGGGACTCAGGTTTAAGAACATTGACTTCTCCAACATCATCCAGTAAAAACATGGGCATGCTTGGATTTTAATTCAGATTGCCCATGTTCCAAATCTGAGAAATGTTAGTCATGCAATATATAACAGGTATTTCCATAAGGATCAGCAATTTGTAACCTACTAGACCTTCAAGAAGCACCTTTTTCCTAGGACCTTGTGAAAAACTGAAAAGTAGTAATTCTATTCCTGATACCACCAAGTAAAAAACATTTTGTAATTATTCTATATTTTTCCCCCAGAATTGATTTTTTTTTTTTTTTTGGTCTGTGAAAAGAAACAAAATGGAAGTAGTAGTAGAAAAATACAGAAGGGTTATGAATGAAAAGCAATGTCATCTGGACTCTCCCCCTCCCCCCAATAAAATTCTATGAATTAAAATATCAAAAGACTCTATATTGTAAATCATGAACACTTCCTATCATATAGATGTATGAATTATGCCTGTCCTGAACATTTGTCCTATCACTGGATCTCTCCTGAGATTAAAAAGGCCAATGGTATTAAGAAAATATGTACCTGGTTGCCTGGGTGTTGGGATAATATCTGGAGGAGAATTACTGAATTCTGCTGAATCTCTTTATTGCTAAATGTCAAGAGAGGAAGAAGGTGGGACTGGATATGCATAGCAACAAGACTGGTCAGAATGCTCTCTGAAACAGAAGAAAACTACTTGAGGCTGTCGGTGCCGATCAGCTGCAAAAAGAACTTGAGAATAAAGTACATCACCAAGCTTAAAAAATCAAATTAGCTCATCTATATCTTACAAACTGAGCAATTCTATTTAACAACAATACAGTGGTTAGATCCTGAGCTCTGTTTCATGAAAAATCAACAGAAAGAAAGATCAAACTTGGCAAGAAAGCTAGGCCCTGATTTCACTAAAAGGCCTCCGAGTATTAATGGTGTCATCAGAAGAATGCTTAAAGCAGTTATGCTCCCTTCTGGTGTGGCACTGGAACCCAGAAAGCTCATTCAAACCCATATGACAACTCAGGATGTTTCTAGGGCTGTTGTGAAGGAAGGTTATCCAGAATGAATACCATCTTCAGAGGAGTATAATAGCCAGAATAGCCACAACTACGACCTAATTAGTATATGACTTTTGTGGATTAAATCCATTCCATGAACCTTGAAAGCTTAAAGGTGTACATTTATTAAAAAATGTTTAATGTTTAAGTCTGCATGCTCTTCTTTCAACTAATGAGAAAGGCAATATCTGGATCTGGTTAATAATGTTGAGGAAAAGTATCAGTACGCATTAAACGTGTATGTGGGAGAGGAGGTATGATGGAGGCTCAGTGCTTTCAGTAGTGTGGCCCCAGTTACACTGGCATGTGACCCCCACCTCATATGTTTACTAACAGTCAATTCAACCAAGCACTGAAATAGATTCTCCACCTCTGGACTATGTTCACTACATAAGTCAAATCTATATTATTATTATTATTATTATTATTATTATTATTATTATTATTATTATTTTGATTTGTCCTGGCCCATCTCCCCACAACGGGGGACCCCACAATTGGGAGTGGGGAGTGAAGGGCTTGATTTTTGCAGAAAAATCTGCAAAGGTCTTAGTACTGGTGATGCTTAAACCCACCACCACAATATGTGCCAAGATGGGAATTTGAACTTGCATTCATGTACAAACTTTAATAGAATGAATTCTACTGTCTAATAAATGTGTAAACTGCAGAATCATAGAATCCAGTTACAGATCACTGCTTCACTGATGAGGAAGCCAAAGGCTCAGTTCATCTGCAAAACATCTGTGCAAATATATTTCTCCCACAAATGAAAGTCTACTATGTGAAAAAAATAACATTGATTGTCCCTTGTTTGCAATATAATGCCATTTTCTCTTTAGTTTCATAATTATGTAACCTATAAATTAACTTCATTACTCTATTCAGATAAACTGTTGAGGATGTAAAAAGCCTCTGGAAAAGAGATTGACTGATTAATTAATGGAAAGTTTAATAGAAAGTTGGAGTAAAGGTTTACAAAGGACATTGTTAGCCAGGTAGCAAGAAGTTGAGAACTGAATCTGTCTAAGAGAAACCTGACTGTAGTGCTTCTTTTCTAGGACCAAAGAAAATAGAGACAAGGTCCCTTTCTCAGCTATTTCATCCACCAGGAATCAGATGCAAGCCCCACTGAATGCAGGGGTTTTATCATCAGATAAATCTACTAAGCAGGGCCAGTTTGGTGTAAGGCTAGAAACCAGGAGACTGTGAGTTCTAGTCCCGCCTGAGGCATGAAGCCTGCTGGGTGACCTTGGGCCAGTCAATCTCTCTCAGCCCTAGGAAGCAGGCAAGGGCAAACCACTTTTGAAATCTTGCCAAGAAAACTGCAAGGATTAGTCCAGGCAATTGCTAGGAGTCAACAATGACTTGAAGGCACAATCAAACAAACAAAAACCCCTACTAAAGAATCCACTAAATTTTTGGAAGAAATACAATTAAAGGAGATGCAGGTTCCCAATTGGGCTGTACAAATCAGTGGTGCTTCACCATATGTGAGAGCATGTACATGCCACTTCTTTTTGAATCACTAAAGCAGCTGCATCTTTTCTTAGGCTCATGCAGCTACTTAGAAAACTGCTCCCAGCTGTGTCTGCATTCATGTTCATGCACTGACTTTTTGCTTTTTCCCATATGCGTGCTTTGCTGACTGGAAAAAAGGTGCTTTGTTCGCATTTCATTGCAAGGCACTCTTCTGAAAGATTCGCAGCTTTATTACAGAAAATCATTTTTTTCTCAAATTTCTGTCAATGTTACAGGCAGTCCTTGCTTAATGACCATTCGTTTAGTGACTGTTCAAAGTTATGATGGCGCTAAAAGTGATTTACGACTAGTGCCCAAAGTTATGACCATCGCAGTGCTCCCACAGTCATGTGATCACGATCCGGGCACTTGGCAACCCGCATGTATTTACATTTGCAGTGTCCCAGGGTCACGTGATCGCTATTTGTGACCTTCCCAGCTGGCTTCCAGCAAGCAAAATCAATGGGGAACTGCACGATTCACTTAATGACCATGGTTATTCCCTTAATGACCACCATAAAAGGTTGTAAAATCGGGTTTGGTCACGTGATGATTTATTTAATGACTACACCATTTAGCAACCTAAATTCCAGTCCCAATTATGGTCATTAAGCAAGGACTACCTGTATACATTTTGATGGGATCACTGCTTTTCCCCCCACCCAAATGATCATAGGTGGCTCTTTTTTGCCCAAGAATATCTAATAGCATATGTGACTAAATGCAGCTTCATGTTAGAAAAAGTAACTTTGAAACTAATTTTTATTCAGTTTAATGCATACAACTGAGGGAGTTTAGGCTGATAAAAGAGTGTGACTTGGCAGTTATAATCTGTATTAATGACCTTGCATTCTCTTGCTAGAGCAATCTGGATTTAAACAAACACAGAGGAATAATTGCATTATAAGAACATAACCACAGATAGTAGTTGCAAGGGCAGGGACAGTTGATCACCAAGCACATCTTCTCAGCTTCTTCTAATTTAGTATGAAACCCCAGACTGATAAAACATTATTCCAATTCATCAGTGCTAGAAATATATCTCATGTACCAGCCAATCTTATATGTATTTTACTAATTTTTATGAATGGAGCACTTCTGAGGGAAATCACTCTAAAACATGTGGAGGTTTTTGTAGGTGGACTTAGAATTAGTGGGCTGCTCTTCCCTAAACCTGCCTGACTAGTCTGGCCCTTGACTACTGGAAGCTTTATTAAACCAGAAAAAGGCCCCAGCACAACAAGTATGCCTGAAACCAAAATATAACATTCTTCCTACTTAAAGAACAAACTGAGGACATTCTTTCCAAAAGAGTGTAGGCACAGTGCAAAACAACATGGGGAAAAACATTTCCTGTTCTGTGTGATGGGGTACATGTGTGTTGGCTGCCTGCTAGCAATTTTTCCTTTGCTGCCATGCTAGGACTCTACTTACCACTTGTGGCTAAATTCCTGAGACAAATACAAGCCTAGTTTGAAATCTAGTTGAAGAAAACAAGCAAATCAGGAGGTGAGAAAAAGCACTTTTGGCTGCAAAAATAATCTAAATGTTTTCAAGCTAACTAGTTCATATCAGCTTTATTTAACACCTTCTCTATCACCAGAATATTCTGATGGAATATGCTTCAAATGTGAGAAATATTCAATGTAAAAACATTCTCTCTGGCAACATAACACAACTTATTGATATTTTAAAGCTATACCATCAGTGTTTCACATGTGTGCTACTAGCTTTTGTGGGTAGATTAAATAAATAATCCATTGTAGTCCTTAAAAACCCTGAAGCCTCCCCCCAACAAACCTTCCCAACACCCCCCAAAATACCAAAACATTTGGCTCCATGAACTCCAGTCATAAAATCATTGTCCATGTCTTATAGCTCCCAGGAAGGCCTCAAAGACAAAGTACATTTCCCAGGCCAAAAAACTACTGCTGGCGCTTGTTTTGAGTCCATATGACAACATGTGAAAACAGCATCATGTTTGTAAACCTTGACTCAGAGTATAGCATTAAATGTGTGAACAAGATCATGATGACTTCTTCAGCAAACCACAGCTAAAACAAACGATGTCTTTGTTCAATGTGTGACCCCAGCTTAAAAGTTTCATCTCTCAGAGTAGTCTTCTTCAACCAGGTACCTTCAAATAAATTACAAGATCCATGATCCCAAGCCAACATGGCTACTGTAATTCAGCATATGCAGAAGGCACTAAGATAGGAAAAGCTGCTCTAAGGGATTCATGAAAGATGCCACATTCAACATCTTCTCTGTTTGGACTTTCTCAAGTTCCCACATTGAGAAATATATTTAAAAAAAAAACACAAATAAGGATATTCAGTATGTAGTTGTAAGCATATTTATATTCCAGTGAAGTCAAGATACCTTTTTGGAGAAAAACAACTGTACGACTAAACTTTTAGAAAAATGGCAGACGATACTCTTGATCAGTATCGAACAATCCCACAGCTTTACCTTGTCCACATCTGAAGACAGGAGAGAAAGAAGAGTCTGTAGAAGAAACTTGTCACCAACATGAAGCATAGCTTTGTGGTGCTGTGAATTTGTAGCCACATTGCTGAGAGCACCACAGCTATAGTACTGTAAGTACAGAAGGCAAAATTGGTACAGATACCTTAAAAAGACAGGGTTGGTGGGATTCTATGACAGGTGGGAAAAAGAAGGATCAGGTTGTATTGGTCAATCTCTGGATAATTTGTAGTAACTTAGCAAGAATGTTTGACTGATCACAAAAGCAATGAAAAATATATAAGGTGTTTGAGATCGAAACACTTGTGGCCTAAAGTTCTAAAACTATATTAAGAACCAATCATATGCCTACAAAGGACCATAAATGGTTGAAGTAAGAAATCAGGATCCTATCCACATCTCTAGGATGTCAAGTGAGAACTCTGTAAGTGGTGAATACAAATGGAATTGCTCTGACTGTAGTACATGTGAGGATTCTAATATCAGAACCTAGGTTTGAGAGAAAAGACCATATGTTATGCCTAATAATAAAATAATACCTAATATCAGTTTGCAATAGATTCTTATGGAATACATGCCACTGTGTGGAAATATATTCATTTGCCAGTTTGCAGAAGACTGGAAATAGTACAGGAGGGCACAGTGAATTGGAAAAGAAAATAGTTCCCAAAACTTCAGCAATATCAGCTGAAGGAAATTCAATATGACAGCTTGCTTCCTATGTTTCTGGTTGGGTACTGTAGCAACTCTCTGAGAAAGGAAAAGTGACTACAGTCCATACAGATGGAGCTGATCTTACATAAATTGGGGCTTCAGTTTGAAGACTGGCATAAACTGAAATTCATATATCTATTTTGTGAAGTTTACAGGCATGGAAATTATTGTCTGCCTTCATTCACTCATGCTTCTACTTTCCACCTGAAGACCCATTTGGCTCTGTCCTTGATGTTCTCTCAAATGAATTACTATTAATGTTACTTTTAATCCCAATACAGTAAATCCAATTGTGTTTTGAGTTGATTCTGTACAAAAATGAAGAATGTAGAAAGAAACCTTGGGGCATTTTCATCACAAACTTTTTTTTTTTACAGTAGTGCAGATGGCAACCTTTTTTTTTTTTTTTTTTGGCAAATGAACTATACCTCCTATTCCTATGTTATCCCATAGTTGTAGGCACAAGTCTGCAGTGGATGAGAGCAAAACGTTCAGGCCCATTTTTCTGTATGGTAAAAGGATTTAAAGTTATTGCAGGGACTTAAAACATCTATTTTGCTCCATTAAGCATAAAAGAAAAACCACCACCAGAAAATCTGTTGGTTGGGGGAGGGGGAGGTACATCACTTTTCTTCACAGTACATATTTCTCCCTACTGCAGTATTGCTGGAACGAAAATCAAATATTTGCTCAAAACTTGAAACTTAAATGGAGTAATGGCCATCTGTGATTATCTCAGACAAAAAGTCAAGAACAAAACATAGTGCTAGAATTGTTCCAAAGTACTTTTTTTAACTTCAGAACAAATGCAGCACAGGAAACAAGACCACATTTGCTTAAATTGCGATGGCTTCTCTCACAATTTCTTTCAAAATATGAGCAACTGGCTCTCAGATGTCACAAACATCTCTACTCTTATCTTTCCCAGGTGAGATTCACTCACCCGTAAAACTTTATTTTAAATATCAATCAGTTACTAAATGTCATCTATAAGGTGTCAAAAGCTGTTGTCTTTTGCTGTATCTTTTCAGCTCAGTTGAGGATTCAGGTTCTATCAGGGCAGTTTAGAATACAATAATATATTATGTTTCCAAAATTGTCAGACTAATGTTTATTGTTTAGTTTGTTCAATTTCAAAAGCTCCCTGTGGATGGATGGATACAAATTTTACCTGTACTTCTGTGTCAGGAGACTCTAATAAAAGGGTGAGTATTGGGAGAGCACTTTGACGAACCAAAACCTTTTGGATCCATTCTGTAAGGAAACTAACAATCAGATGGCATCTGTAATCAGTTATTTGGGTCTTACCACTGCTAGTAAGTATATACTTAAAAACTAAACAAACTGCATTTTTCCAAAGACATTACTGCAATAAAAACAACTTATCTCATTGCTAACATGTACATGAACAATAACATTGCAGGATAATTATTCTATTAGCAAAAGGATGCAAACAGAATTAAAAGAATGTGGCTATCTTATTCTGCATAACAACAAAAACCAGGTTGTGTATCCTAGAAAAATGAGTCCTGATAAAGTAGCATTTATATGTGGTTTGGACTCATTTAGTCATTAAAAAGTGACTGGAAATGACTGCACTATATATAATGCTATGTTAAAAAATGCAAAATGACAATACAATGTTATTAATTCAAGACAACTGTGAAACAATAGATTGTTCATAGAAGTCTCCCTGCTGATCCCACACATGGAATAAAACCTTCATAGCCAACAACCAGCTTCATAAGTACATTCTTTGCTGCACAGATTATCTGCATTTCCTAAGTAGTCGCTAGCTTAACTTAATTGTTCTATAATAATTATTCAAATACAAATGTTATCAGAAAGCCCTCCATGGAACCTAACTCTAATTATCTTTTTCTTACTATTCTTGCATTTGGCATAGCCAAAATAAATCATAACTACCACATTACCTGATTGTGTGAGGCTGAAAATAGCTCGAACTGCATTTTGTTGAACCCCGATATCATGAGATTTAGAAAGGGAAAGTAATGGAATAGTTCCTCCGGCTGCTGCAATTGCATTCCGACAGGCCTCTGAAGGAAGCAGCAGAGTGAAAGAGAAATTAGGGTGGGGGGGTAGCTCTGCTAGGAGATAGCTTGGAAGCAATGATTCAAGATTAGAGACTGAACACTGTACCTCGTCCTCAACTCTCAAGCTGTGGTTCTGAGTACTATATGAGTATCATTACAAGCCTGCAATGAGAACTATTGCTACAGGTTGCCTTGGGATAATAATTGGCCAGAATTTTGAATCGGCCAAAGCAGTATTAAATATGTATCCTGAAGTGCCACCCTGGAGAAAAGCAGCTGAAGAGCCCTCTGGAATGGGGTATGGCAACAGAAGAAGCAAGCAGCAAGGAAAAGACAACTTTGCTGCATGGTTTTGCTGGTGTTTGAAAGGACTGGTGTCCTTTCAAACACCAGTCAGTTGAAAATAAAACAAAAAGTCAGGCCAACTTGGGCTTGAGTACCAAGCATTGAAAGCTGAAAGATGTTTTGAGGCTGCCATCTTCTTTTCTCTTGATATGTTTAAGTCCCTAGTCATGTGAAACAATGACATTTCATTGGGGCATAGCAGGATTCTGTAGGAAAGATTCTGTGGCAATTGCTGAAATCACATTGCTGGATATTTATTGCAGGGCCAGGCTCTTCTATTTGGGAGGGAGAAATAATATTTCTGAGAATCTTGAAGGGCCTATGGGTACCTCATCATACTGGGCACCTGTTGCCCTCTTCTTTTCTGAAGTACTCTCTATAGATCTTTGCTCTGCGCTCCAAGACGAACAAAAGGTAAATGAAGCAAATAACATTCATATGTATATAACACAAATGTACTTGTCTGCATAATTCAACTATTTTTCAGGCAAATTTGGGGGGGTGGGGTGGAAAAAGGAAATAAAGTATTCCACAGCTGTGCTGTAATCAGTACAGTGTAATTACTAAGGTGTTGGACTTGGGCTAGAGAGCTAGGCTCAATCCTCCACTCAACCACCTCACTGGATGACTTTGAGGCAGCCACTGTTTTTCAGCCCATCTTCTCTTCACAGAGTTGTTTTTGTAGGATAAAATTAGAGGAGACTCACATGGATATAGATTAGAGCTCAAAAAGAAAAACTGGGCTATAATTGCAGGAAGTGGAATTGTTGCTGAACTTAACAACTACCCTAGGCTTGAATTTTGGAAACCCTGCTCACCTGAGTCAGCCAGCATCATTAAGCAGGCACAGGAATTACCCTGAGCAGTGATGTCGTCCGACTCGAGTAGCTCTAGGATTGGCTCAAGTAAATCCATTTCTATGACATGCTCCTTGGTTACTGTTTGTGAACAAATGCAGTAGTAAATCATCTTAAACATGATTATGTTTAAAAATGCAATATGAAATAAATTTATGTAATACTGAAGATAGCCAAAAGCCACTGTCACCACTCAGTGCCACTTCAAAACTGGAGAAATGTGTTCTACTTGACTAGAAAGCAAAATCCACTTTCTGAATTCCTATGAAATAAATTGTTTTACTGGGTCAAAAATCTAACAGATTTGTTATCAGCTATACACCTCAGATGCACAAAACGTGAGTGCTCAGGGCTATATGTGGTCCCATCAATCCTGGATATTGCTGCCCCAAAATCATCAAAAGCTGTGATCAAAGTATAATTTTTAATATGACTAGGAAAATTATTCAACACAACTACAAGTTATGCTATTTACTATATTTATTTTAATTATATGTAAATGAAATAAAATCAAACAAGTTATATTTATATTTTAACGTTTTCCAGCATACATCCCATCTAGTCTATAACCAGAAAAACATTCTGTACTACTGACGCATTTCCATCGTTCCAAATGAATCTGCAAGGCAGTTCAACAACCAACTTGTCATTCCTTAGGGGCAGAGCTGCAAAGAACTCACATTCTAGGCAGGTGCTGTATTCAACTTTCTTAAAAAGAGATTTCTTGGTCATCCACTCACCATTTCCTTCTAATAAAAAACTGAGCAGGGATAAAGATGAAATCTGCTGAACCTCCAAATCGTTAGACTTCAGCAAAGCATAGTATGTTTCCAAATGCTCTAGGGACAGCTGGATGTTTAGCGCTGGAATAAGAAGAAATATTCAAACATTCAGAACACTGGTCCTTCTGTCTTGGAACTGTGGAAGTTCAAGCACAGAAGCAGTCACAACTGAGAGGTTTTCTACTCCGTTTTATGGAGGACACCTTCCACCAGCCTATCCTATGTAAACCCTCATGATATATGCACAGTACTGACAGAGATGCATTCTACCCCACGCCAGCCCTCATACACATACAACTCATAAAAATCATAGCAGCTTCTACAATTCAAAGGCAAGCCCACATATGGTATATTGGATTATCATATTGTGCTCTCCAATGAACATGGCAAAAACATCTTCTGCTGCATCAGCCCCACATTTAACCATTTGCCTAAGCAGATGAGTGGATGCAAGTTACTAGAATCAAGATGGAAAATTCCTCCAGAGTCCCCTGAGCTTCTGGGTTAGAAGGAGGACTCTGATCTCCTCCACATCCAGTGTATAAACCAAAGGAACAGCCAGCCAAGGTGTATCCTCCATCCCTTAAGAATCTTGACTCTGTCAAGACCGGCACAGAAACAAGAGCAATGCCACTTCATCCTCATAGGTTAAATGTGTGTGTGTGTGTACTTTTCAACTGTAATCTTGAATTCAATCTGAGAGTGAAGGACTTAGTGTTGCTAAGAAGCCCCTCTGTGCAAGCGTAAGTCCTATTTAACTAAATGTTTGATACCCTAGTAAACAGCTGCTGAATAGCAACTGAACTTATTATGTCCCAAGATAAAACATTCTGCACTACTGATGCATTTCCATCTTTCCAAATGAATCTGCAGAGCAGCTGAACAATCAATTTGTCATTCCTTAGGGGCAGAGTAGGAAAGAAGGAAAGGTGGGATATAAATCTGAGAATTAAATTAAGTATATCTCTAGAAAAATGGTAGAGCTAAATGGGATTAGTATATTCATTTTATATATGAAAGTTTTCTTCTTTTTACATGAAACATCCCAGAGCCCTAAGACACAAGGGCTTTTATTCCCTACACTTCTCAATACGTGAGCCAAAGGAAAATACAGTGGTACCTCGGGTTATGAACGCCTCTGTTAACAAACTTTTCGGGTTACGACCA